GAAGAACCTCAGCTTAGCCTGTTAGCTTTAGCGTTAGCCCCAATGCTCTCACCATATATGTATTAGCTCAGTGCTACACATTCTCCTCTCGTCACTGAGGTCCTCCATCCACATGACAGAGAGGGGAACGCAGAAATGACTCGGCCTGCAAATGAAACTATGGATGGAGGACCTCAGTTTAGCTTGTTTGTCGCGCTAGCGCCGAGTTAATACATATAATGCAATATAGTGTTGGCGCTAGCGCAAAGGCTAACAGGCTAAACTGAAGTTGTTCTTCCATGAAGCAGCTCTGTTGTCCTCCATCCATATTTTCAGTTACAGGCTGAGTCATTTCTACCTTCTCCTCTCTGTCAACGCCCTCTGGTTTCATTTAAAAGAGTCGATCATCAGATATTGTCCAAGATTAACCTTCAGGGTGGATATAGCTCCCTAGCAGCCTCACACCGAGGACCCAGGTGATGKCATCAATTACCCAGAATGCTTTGCATGTAAATAAAATGGCTCCGTCCGTGTTAAAATATATTTTAAAAAATTTACAAAACTAAACAGCTACAGTATTTTTACAGTCTTTATTTTACAGTTAAAATAAATGTTTATCAAATAAAGTTTAATGTTACAACTAATCGTGGATCCCTTCAAGTCACCGAAGTTCATTAAAGACCAAGTCTAAAAAAAGTTTGCATTCATTTTCCATGCAGTGTACATAATTTATTATTCATAATCTGAAACTGAAAAGAAAAGTTCCTTTTTTTAGGGTAGCAGTCAATGAAAGCTATCCGTGTTTTCATATAGTCTTAAATAATGGGAGACAGCGTGTGCGTGTGTGTGTGTCTGTGTGTGTAACAGGGTGTCTGCTTTTATTTCTCAGCATCACTCTGAGTCCATGCCTGCAGATGATAGTGCAAGCTTCTTCTTTTTTTCTTGTAAGGCTTTTTGTTGTGTGTATTGTTGCTAACTAAATGTATTTATGGAGAAAGGATATTGTAGAAGCCGCGGTATTTCAACATTCATAGAGGCATTGGCCTGGAGGAGAAGTCGAGTCGAATTTATTTCTTGAAAGGCTTCTAACAAACTAGGTTTATCTCGGAAACCTTCCGATCTCAGTAAAGGACACAAACAAAATGCAAATAAAAAGGAAAGTGAAAGCGATGTAATTTTCCAGGAGAAATAGCAAGGAGGAGGAGGAGGAGAGTACAACACAGGATAACATTTACATCATGAATCAGTTTGCTTCGTGCATGTATGATGCAAGAGTTGGGCCGTTTTCCTGCAGGTGTGTAACTGCACGTATGATGTGTGTGTGTATGTGTGTGTATCTCTTTCTCCCCGGGGCTTTCTTGCATGTTCAAACAGATGTTTTGGGACTCTAGTGCRTAGAGGTCTGGCCCCATCCTTCTCTCGTCTTCTCCTCGCTCTTCCCCTCTTCTCCTCTTTCACAAGCATCTGTTCTTCACGGCCCGTGTTGATGACACCTGCGTCCCAGTGGTGCGGCAGAGGAATCGGGTCACGTTGTAAACTGGTTTCCATTACAGCTGCAGTTRCAAGGGAGCTCTCTGCTCTAAATATCCATCTAGGAGAAAGGAAAATGAAGGGGGGGTTGGCTCGCGAAGCTCCAAATTTGTTCCTCGGCTACACGCGTGCACGCAAAGTCGCTGCCGTTTATGCCTCATAATACGAAACCTCGTAATGCGGAAGGAGAGGCGTTACAGGRAGAGAGCACAAAACATCCACACATCTCTCCTCCTCCTCTCACACGATGTTTCTTTTCTCGTCTAGTCCCAGAGAAGATGACAAAAGGAGGAGGGCAAGTGTGATCACGCAGGTTGACGAAGCAGTTGCTTTGTTGTTTTCACCCCAACACGTCCTCGTGCATATGTGCTCTCGCTCGAATCTTTGATCAGTACAAGAAAGGCAATGTGCAAACAAACAATCAGTATGCTTTATTCTATGCTTAGAAGTGTGAGAAAAAGGGAAGAGAAAAAAAAGATGATAAAAGTGCAACGTGTTGAGTTGCTGAAAGACAAAACCAACTGTGTTGTGGAGCCAGAACTGAAAGCCAAATGTAGCATCARTGTGTTTCGCACAAATACATTTATATCCAGACAGCTGTGGAGTAGAAACGCACATGGACATTTTTGTTGTGACACTTTGAGTATTTTTCTTCCCTTTTTTTTTTTACTAAACTGAAACAGTGCCAAGGCGGAGTATTTTTTATTTCAGCTTCATTTGTTTGTCTGGCTGACTGTTTGCCATTAGAAAGACTGTGTAAACACTAAGTGGCCAAATTCCCTGATGTTTGGGAGAAAAGTGGAAAATGAAACAAAAAAAAACCTGCTRCAGATCTGATTTAAAAATCCACATAAGATGTTTGCATATGGATGTGTTGAACTCACGATAGGGAAAAAAAATCTCATAAACCACTTGACGGATTTTAATAAAACTCTGAAAGTAATTATTGGACGTACATCTACTATGTCCCTTTATGCATCAACCTGATTCAAGATGGCTACCACTAATTAGCCTTAGCAAACACAAGAAAGGCTGCACTCTTTCAGCTTTGCAGGTATTGAATCCCAGTCAGGAACTTTWATGAGTAGAGTTTGCATGTTCTCTTTGTGCATGTGTGGGTTTTCTCCAGGTACTCTGGTTTCCTCCCACAGACCAAAAACATGCACATTAGGCTAATTAGTAACTCTAAGTTGTTACATGTGAATTACAGAGTGAACGTTTAGTTTTATGTKGTCCTGTGAGTATTATGACCTGTCCAGGGTGTCTTCTGCCCCTCGCTCAGTGGCATGGGCACTGGTGATCCTGAAAAGAAGAAACAGGTTAAGATAACAGATGAATAGCTGAGTTTTCCCTAAAACATGTAACCAATCACACAAGATCTTAGACGAAAACATTACCAGTAACTATTTGTGTCATCTCAAATTGTCTGATCCACTTAAAGGATTTTTTAAAAAATCTTAGATTGTAGTTGCTGGATGTACATGAATAACTCGTTTAATTTTGGAGTCAAYCCAATRTCAATGTCAATTTTATTTRYATAGCACATAAAAACAACAGAAGTTGGCCAAAGTGCTTCACAWTTAAGCCAAATGAATAAAACAATTGAGCAACACATAAATGAAGACAATATAATCAATTTAAAATACAGAAAAACATTTWAAAAGAATCTCAAACTCWACCAGAATGAAAGGCCAGGGAGTAAAAGTAAGTTTTAAGGAAAGATTTRAAAGTCTCAACAGTCTCAGCAGTCCGTATGCTAAGAGGTAAACCATTCCAGAGTTTTGGGGCAGAAACTGCAAAGRCCYGATCAYCTCTAAACTTTAGTCTGGATCTAGGAACATCTAAGAGGAACTGGTTGGATGACYGAAGYGCTCTAACWGAAGTGTGGATGTTAATGAGMTCACACAGGTAGGATGGKGCCAGRCCYWTTWAARMTTTTAAAAGTAAGCRATAAMATCTTAAAATTGATCCTAAAATGAACAGAAAGCCAGTGGAGAGAAACCAGAACYGGRGAWATGTGTTCATGTTTTTTAGTTCCTGTTWAAAGACGAGCTGCTGCGTTTTGGACAACTTGTAATCGATGCAGAGAAGATTTATCTAAACCAACATACAAAGAATTAYAATAATSCAAACAAGATGTAATGAGAGCATGAATCACTTTCTCAAGGTCATTGTTTGGGAGGYWTGGCTTCATCTTAGCAAWAAGTCTTGGAAAAWACTCGATTTCACCACTGAGTTTATCTGCCTGTCCAATTTAAACACWTTATCAAAACTGAAACCCAAATTTCTGACAGCAGAGCAGCTGTATGAAGCCAAAGGACCAAGATTGTCAGGAGAAGTGTCTGTACCAAAGCTGATGACTTCTGTCTTACTTTCATTTAGATTCAGGAAAYTTAATTTCAGCCAGATTTTTATGTCGTTCAGACAGCTCAGGAGTGATTTGAATGAATTAACCAAACTTGGCTTGATATGCAGGTAGGCCTGAATGTCATCAGCAAAACAGTGAAAAGGAATCCTGTGTTTATTAAAAATGGACCCCCAGAGGCAACATATCCCATTCATGAYGCCAAAAAAAACGCTCAGACTCAGTCAACTTTAGAGATATTAAGCAAAGGTTTGATGTGGTGGTAGTTGAGAGTCACTCATAATGCATACTTTGATCACAAAATGGTTGCATAAGATTTTGTTTCAAATTTGTGTACTTTAATGTTATCAAGGTTTAACTAAAACAACTAGAATGCTGCCTTTTTGGGGGGTCATATTAGGTGAAAACTCTGGCATGAAAAAGAATGTTAGGTCTTTWAAGTATGCATTTTTTGACCACATTTTAACAAAAAGCATACTAAAGATTCTCTCAGGCTCTTTTTTTACTGTATAGTATGTGGTTTATTGATTTTGCTCGAGCAAACCACACACACACACACACACGGAGACACACACACAATGAAGATGGGCTCAAACCTCCCGCCCCCCTGCTGCTTCGGAGAGAGAAAGGTGATGTGTGAATGGGTGTTCTCGTCTGAGTCATGCCGGTTTGTTTTTCAGCTCTCTCGCTCAACAGTCCATTAGCTCATTGTTGGAGGGGCTGCTATTGGATTCTGGCTGACATGTTCCCTCAAGTCTGAGAGCAAGAGATGAGGATGCATGCGGTGCTGAGTGCTCTAATATTGCTCACACACACACACACTTTCACTTAGATGTGACAAAGAAAACGGAATACAAAAGAAGGAAAGGGGGACAGGAGTGAGAAGAGAGAGGGGAGATGAAGAAAATATGCAAAATGTGATGTGACATGAGATAATGATGATTAAGTTTTCATGTGTCTGTACAGCTGAAATTCTCCTCAGAATCAAGTTGCTGATCATTTATTGAGAATCAAACGCCAAATTTTGTACATTTCTGGTTTGTTACTGAATGCACGACTTGTTGAATTAAATCTTAGCAAAAAAATTAAAAAAGTGTAACTCTGTTGTTTTTGTTCTCTGTTTCAGGGCCTGCAAACCACAGTCAGTCCACACTACAGCCTCCGCTGCCCCCTCCACACAACCACCACAACTTGTCCCATCAGTCGGCCAACAGCCTGAACAGGAACACCCTGAGAGGGGGGCGCAACCCCATCCACGCCCCGGCTCCTGGTACTGGAGATGGACCCACCACACCGGAGTCGGTGCAGTTACAGGACAGCTGGGTGCTCAACAGCAACGTCCCGCTAGAGACCAGGTCAGTACAACGAGGTTCTCTGTTCTTTTCTTTTTTTCTTTATGTTTCTGACTTTTATAAACAACTCATACAGACGTCTGGAGTCACTTACAGCAAGAACACCAGTGGAATCAACTATGAGGGGCAACATTTAGAGAATTGTTGTATATTTCTTAGTTAATAGACATGTTGTATACAAAGCCATGAAACTTATTTGAACATTTTCTTGGCCAGGCATTTTCCACAGTAATTGAAAAACACTA